GGCCAGTACTGGGATTTGAAGTCGGGGCCTCAGGCTCGTGCTTGGCATTTTTTTTTTTCTGCTCAAGGCTGGTGCTCTACCACTTGAGCCACACCTCTACTTCTGGCTGTTTGCTGATTAATTAGACATAAGAATCTCATGGATTTGTCTGCCTGGGCTGGCTTTAATTGTGATCCTCAGATCTCAGCCTCCTTAGTAGCTGGGATTACAGGTGTGAGCCATGGGTGCCCAGTCCTTCACAGCTGTTTTAAAGAATGGGGCCTATTCTGTACACAGAAGCACTGAGTGAGCACTAGACAAATGAACTTGAAGAAGACAGTGTAGAACAATGCATAAACTGTATCTTCATTTATATAGCTATTGTTATGCTTTGGCCACTGTTTTATTTCTAATGGGTATCACTAAAATCAGGGAAGAGATGTCTGAAAATGGGAAAGGGCAAAGGTAGGAATGAAATATAGCTCGATTAGACTCTGAGTTCAAATCTTAGCACCACCAAAAAATTACATATATGTGTGTGTGTGTATGTAAAACAGTGTGTGTGTATATATATATTCACATATACATGTAGTATGTATGTATACATTTATGTCTCTATACACATGTGTGTATATATACTTATATACGTGCATACATTTCTGCTTATATACGCATACCCATAGGTATAAAAATCATATATATGCAGAAATGTATGCACATATACAAGTATATATATATAATAGGAAAAGACCTATTTTTCATTGTATATTTTCCATCTTTCAAATTTTTTATACTTTACCTGTTTCTTACTTATGTGAAAATAATGACTCTAAAAAGTAATGAGGGGCTGGGAAGGTGGCTTAGTGGTAGAGTGCTTGCCTTGCATGCATGAGGCCCTGGGTTCAATTCCTCAGCACCACATAAGCAGAAAAAGCCGGAAATGGCACTGTGGCCCAAGTGGTAGAATGCTAGCCTTGAGTTGAAGAGCTGAGGGACAGCACCCAGGCCCAGAGTTTAAGTCCCACAACCGGCAAAAATAAATAAATAAATAAAAATAAAAAGTAATGTATAATATTATATATCAGTATACATTACAGAAACAAATAATGCTAACTCAAGAGAGAGGAAGACAAGTCCTGGAAAGGCTAGGGTTGTTCATAGTTGCTTTACTCACAGTAGCCAAAAGGTGAAAACAAAGCCCGGCTATCCATCATGAAAGACTATGTAAGTGACACATCGTTACAATGAAATAGTATTCCCAATAATAAACAGATCACTGGTGCATAATGTTTTTGACACATGCAGAGCAAAGAAAAGTTACCATGAAGTTATAAAAAAAAAAGTTACCATGACAAGAGTGCATACTCTACCACCCTACTTATTCCTGCTGAAATAATCAAATCTGTGTGGAAAACAATTAAAACACTGTACTGAGACGGGCAAAGGAACAGGGGTCAGGAAAAACAGCAGTCTATGGTTTGGAGGGAGCCCTTGATTTTAGTGTGTCTTGTGCAGTGTATCAGCACAGAACAGTGTCATCTGCAGGGACATGAGAGCAAGTTGGCTAGTAGCGTTGTGCTGCTGTGTCTGTTTGATTTATAGAGTCCTATTAAGTGTAATTCTTCAGAACATCAAATGTGGATAGGAGGAACCGTGGGAGAGGGAACAAACTGTGTCGCACTTCTGGAGTTTACCACCCAGACTAGCGTTGCGTACCCTGACTGCTGGCATCTGGCTCCTGCCTGCATTCCTAACTCCTGGCATTTAATAATGACTGTCCCTCTTCAGTACTATTTATTTGTTTCAGAAATAACTGTGTTTGGGAAAATACAAAAAATAAAGGGAAGAATACTTAAACACTGGTCAGGAATACTAGTGTTGACATTCTGGTATATGACATTCCAGGTGTGTCTTTATGTATACATGTAATTTGTTTTTGAATCAAAAGTGATGTCATCCTCTGTCTGACACAACCAGCCTACTGGTGTCCTGACTACCCCTCCTATCATTAAATCCCCTGGAATCTTGTCAGTTTGTTTTGTTTTGCTTTGTTTTTAGTAGTAGGGCTTGAATTTAGGGTCTGCGTGCTGTCCCTGAGCTCTTTTGCTCAAGGCTAGCACTATAACTGAGCTACAGCTCCATTTCCAGCTTTTTTAGTATTTAATTGGAGATAAGAGTCTCATGGTCTTTCATGCAATCCTCAGATCTCAGCCTCCTGAGTTAGGATTACAGGTGTGAGCTACCAGCACCTGGCTTGAAATATTGTATTTTAAAAAATAAAATTAAAACAGCAATTGGCAAGGAAAGTGAGGCTGTGAGGTATGGAATGCCCAGGAAGGAGTGTGAGTTGACTATTTAGAGTAACTATGAGGTTCTAGATTTTGGTATGAGTTTAGGTTACAAAGGAATTTGTCAGGGAATAAGACATGTACATTTTATATGTAAGGCCTGGGTTCACTACACACACACACACACACACACACACATGATTTGTTTTGGTATCAATACAGAGTGGGGCTTGAATTCAGGGCCTAGGTGTTGTCCCTTAGCCAGCTAGCACTGGCTTCAAACTTCAATTTCAGATCTCAGCCATCTGAGTAACTAGGATTACAGGTGTGAGCCACAGTGCCCAGCCAGTTATCTGTACCTATATCTATAACTATATATGTTTTGTGAATAAATTCTGCCTCAAAGGGAAATAGAAATCTCTATGGAAACTAAGCAAATACTGAACATTAGTTAATGATGTGTTTGCTAGACTTGCTAGCGGGAACTGCTATCTGCAACTTACCTGAAATGAATGCAGACTGCAAAAGAGTAGCCATGTGATAGAACAGTGTATCTGGGCATTAACTTCAGTGTGGAAGAAACAAGTGTTCACTAGGAAATGTCTTTCAAAGCTTCTGTCTGAAATATCTTAAAATGTTGAAAATATCCTCTAAAACACACATGGGCATTGCATGCAGCAGATCTCTATCAGTGCGTATCAGTCTACTTCATCCTCATTAAATGTTTGTGATTTTAAAAAATTGAAAGAAGAGTTCATAGGCATTGGGTTAAGTTTAAAATCAAAAAGGTAAGTATCAACTAAATACAGTTCTTGATCTTGAGATAGCTTGAGGCCTTGTACAAGCTGTTCCCTTGACTCCCCAAAGAAGAGAGGCAGCATTCCCTCTGCTCATAAAGAGATAAGAGAGGGCTGGTAAGGTGGCTTAGTGGTAACAGTACTTGCCTAGCATGCATGAAGCCCTGGGTTCCATTCTTCAGTACCATATAAGCAGAAAAAGCCAGAAGTGGTGCTGTGGCTCAAGTGGTAGAGTACTATCCTTGAGCAAAAGCAGCTCAGGAATAGTGCCCAGGTCCAAAAAGAGAGAGAGAGAGAAGACCCCACACACAGTATGAAAGCTGCCATCTTTCCCTTCTGTCTTCCCTCCCTCTGTCAACGTAAAGTAGACCCCAGTACCAGCCCCCTCCCTGCACTTTGCTTTCCCTCCCACATCAGCCTAGAAAAGGGGTCAGGCCTGCTTTATCCTGGGGGTGCTTGGCCTCCTCCTCTGCATCTAGAATAGACTTCCTCATAGGATCAGTAGGTACAGGGCCAAGGGTCAGGTTGGGAGGGGAGCCACTGGGGCTTTGGCCTGAGTGTAGGGGAAGCATGGGTGGTTCGGCCTAGCAGATGGGAACATGCAGTGGGTGACAGTGAAAGCCCAGGCTGGAAGTGAAGCCTTTCTTCATTTCCAGTTTGGCTTCTCTGCTACCATATCTGTGTCTCTGTGTGGATGAGTATCCATCTCTCAGGACCATTAGGAAAGGCACGGCAGCACTGGAAGTAGGCTGTACCTGGAAGGTATGCTCACGGCAGATTTAAAATGGTGGCGCCCATCTTTCCAAAGTCAACTATATGCAGATTTATCTATCTTGTGTTTCTTTTATTTCATCTGTGAATAATAGAAACATAGTTCTCAAAGTTCTGAGGGCTGGGAACTCCAGGATGAAAGAGTTAGCAGACTCAGTGTTTTCTCATTGTTGACTCTGGTACTAAGATGGCATCTTACTGCAGCACCCTCTGGAGAAGACAAACATGGTATCCTCTAGAGTGGACAGGACGGAGGGATGGAAGAAACTAGGTCATCCACCTCATGTCCCTCACATCCAATTTATCAGCACTCTGACCCAGTTGGGATTACAGGCATGCACTACAATCCCATTTACTCAGGAGGCAGAGGCAGGAAGGATCTCAAGTTCAATGCCAGCCTTAGAAAAGTTAGGAAGACCTTAAAAACAAAATATAAAAAAAGGGCTGGGGGGGGTGGGGTGGCGGGTAGGACAAAACTGAAGTGCTAGAGTACTTGCCTAGTGTTAACTAAGGCCCTGGTTCAATCCCTAATATCTCTCCTTTTCCCTCTCCCCACCCCACTTTCTCTCTCACTGTACACACACACACACACACACACACACACACATACACACACACACACACACACCCCTAGGGCAAAAAGGCTTCACCACAGATCATGTGTTTGATGCTACAGGACCTGCTGAAGTTTCTGTATATCTGCATCATTACAACAGATCACAAATTGACTCAGTTCATCCATGACTGGTGGACAAGATGCCAAAGAACATAATTTAGGAGATTTATGCTGCTCCAGTGAATTGGATGACCAGATGTTTTTGCATAATATAACCACCTTCCAACTTCCTGTTCCTAATACCAAATAACTGTATAAGAAATAAAGATGAGGGCTGGGAAGGTGGCTCAGTGGTAGAGCAATTGCCTTGCATGCCTGAGGCCATGGGTTCGATTCCTCAGCACCACATAAGCAAAAAGAAAAAAGCCGGAAGTGGCGCTGTGGCTCAAGTGGTAGAGTGCTAGCCTTGAGCTGAAGAGCTGAGGGACAGCACCCAGGCTGAGTTCAGGCCCCATGACTGGACCCAAAAAAGAAAAAAAAAAAAGAAATAAAGATGAGAAAAGAATTTTGGAGTCTGCACACGATTGTATCTGTGCCATGCAGTCATACCTCATTGGATGGAATGGTGGCAAAGGGTTTGATGACAGCTGCTAGTGGAATCTGAGCCTGCTTTGCCATGTCTGATGTGCACGGGAAACAGTATGTGGTACACCGGATGTAGCGAGGACTAGCATTTCCTGGAACATTCAAAGAGACATACGCAGAACTTGATTAGAAACAAACTTTCCCTGAGACATGTACATATTTACAAAGGTAGACAATGACATGTTTTATGTATGAACCTGTAAAAATCTTCCATCTGTATTTTAGGGACACTGTTCATTTCTTATAAGACACTGAGTCCTACTAAAGATATAACATAGATGTTTCAATTACTATGATTATTTTTCAGTAAATTGGGTCTTAATGTACGTACGCTAGACAGGTATTTAGATTTAATAAAAGATGTCAAACAATGAGGCAAAAAAAAAACAGGAATGCGTAAAACCTTTGGGTGACAATCACCTCGATCAATACCTCTGCACATGGCAAGGGTACAAGAGTAAGTAACTACATACCACTTCTGAAGTGAAGCCTTGTCAAACATGACCTTACTCTGACCATGTTCTGTCTAGACTTGCCAACTAAAGTGACAATTCTACATGTACAACTAACATATACTAATGGGAATCCTAAAGAAAATAGAGAAATACCTTGGTCTTGTATCACACAATCTGTAGTGACTATCGGAGGGACCTGGCCTCTGATGTTGGTGGTATAAACTTGTCCCCCTCTGGTGGCTCTGTCATCCTCAATCACCTGGATCTGGGAAATAGAACACCAAGAGCAAGTTAAAAGTAAGTGAAGACTCATGTCAACACTCAAAGAGGATGAATACCAGCTGCTCATGTTTCTTCTTGATTCTTTCACACCTCCTTCCTTCACACACAGAGATAACACACATGTGCATACACAACATACACATAACACACACACATACTTCCTTTCATATAAAATTCTCTTTTCTGGGGCTGGGAAGGTGGCTCAGTGGTAGAGTGCTTACCTTGCATGCATGAAACCCTGGGTTTGATTCCATAAGCAGAAAAAGCTGTATGTGGCGTTGTGGCTCAAGTGGAAGAGTGCTAGTCTTGAGCTGAGGAGCTCAGGCCCAGTGCCCGGGCCCAGAGTTCAGGCCCCACAACGAACAGAAAAAAAAATCTCTTTTCTTGGCTTTTTGAGTTGAGTTTGACTGGGATTCAAACTCAGTACCTGCTGCTTTTCACTAATTGGCTAGGTCTCTACCATCTGAACCATGCCTCCAACCCCAATATCAGATTCTCAGTGAGACAGACCTACCAGGTCTTCTTCAGCTCCATGTTTGTTTACTTCCAAATTTTAGATCACTAGTTTCCCAGTTGTTTTCTCTCATTCTCAGAGCTCTGATCCTTACCCTTTGAAGAACATTTTCTCCAGTTTACTATTGGGCCTAGAGGTAAGCATTTAAAAAATATTCTGGGAGCTAGGGATATAGCTCAGTAGGAGAGTATTTGCCTAGCATGTGCAAGGCTCTGAGTTCTATCCCTAGTATTGTGATAGATAAAATAATAATAATAATAATAATAAATACAACAAATAAGTAAATGAATTTTTAAAATTCATAGTAAAGGAAATTAAAACAAGCTTTTAAAAAGATATTTTAATAAAAATAAATCGTTAGAGGACTAAAAAAAAATTCAGAAGGGATTATCTACAATACATGACCTAAAGAAGCCTTTATTTTTCTCTTCCAGATTTCTCCTGATCTTCAATTTGCCTTTCGGGTCTTCCTCACTTGAAAGACAAGAACAGTATAGTTTCCCAAGAAGATTTCTGCCTGATGCATAGAAATTAATGGGAGCCAAAGTCCCCAGTTAGAAACATGTCTTTGTACTATAAATATGTATTGACAAAGAGGGCTTAAAAAACTGTTGTAACTGAAAATTATGAACAGAAGGTAGTATGGATAAGAAGAAAAGGGCCAGGTACTGGTGGCTCATGCCTATAATCCGAGTTACTCAGATGGCTGAGATCTGAGGATCATGATTCAAAGCCAGTCTAGGCAGGAAAAGTCTGTGAGACTCTTAATTCCAATAAACCACTCAGAAAACCGAAAGTGGTACTGTGGCTCAAGTGGCAGACGCTAACCTTGAGCTAAAGAGCTGAGGGATAGTGCCCAGGCCCAGAGTTCAAGACACACAACTGCCAAATAAAAAAAGTAGAATAAAAGAAGAAAGTCTAATAATTACCTTGCTTGTTACTTTCTCCCTCTCCTCATTTCTTTCATCAGAAAAGAGAAAAGGAAGAAAAGGAGAAAAGAAAATCAAAACAAAGCAAACAAAAATATGAAAGAGGAAGAAGGCAAAAGGGAAAGGAGAAGTATGAGGGGACAAGAACAATGTCCAGAGAAGAATAAAAAGATGGGAAGATTTTGATATTCATAAAGAAACTATCTTTCACCAAATCCTAAAATGTATCTTCTGCCTTTTCCGTCCATCCCATCCAATCCAGACATAACTGAACTTTACTGGTTTCTCAAAATGTTTGCAACACATGCAGACTGGCTTTAAATATATATTTTTTTCTGTCTGCCAAAATTCACAGAACTTGAATGATTATTAAATTAAGGATATAGGAAGTGTGCCAAATATCACTACAGCAAGACAAAAAGTTACCACAGGCCAACTAAGAGGTGGCAGGAAAATCAAAACACTATAATTACATTCTATATTTTGACTAGAAGATTCATCAGCTTGATTCAAAATCAGTGAAGGCTTTATATTAATGTCTATTACAATCATTTCAACCAACAAAACTACCTCAAATATCTGAGGTAAAAGCCATGGTTTTCAGAGATATGCCTAACATATTGAAGTCGTAGATTCAATAGTTGGTCTTCTAAAAAGTTTGTTTGACATGCTGGGCACTGTTGGCTTACCCCTGTAATCCTAGCTACTCAGGAGACTAAGATCTGAAGATTGCAATCTAAATCTTCCAGGGAAGACAAATTTGAGAGGCTCTTATCTCCAATTAAACACTTTATAAAAAGTCAGAAGTATAGGTGTGGCTCAAGTGGTAGAGTAGGGTGCCAGCCCTGAAGGGAAAATTAAGTGAGAGTAGAAAGCTGAGTTCAAGCTCCAGTAACAGCACACAAATACACACACACA